GCACATCACATCTCTCCGTCAGCCGAGATTGCGATAGTGATAAGGGATCTAATTAAAAAAATAACTACAATCTAAAAGACTGTCGATAAAATAGCGCAGTTATAATAAGTGTGAAGCAGTTTTACAAGTTTTCCTTCAAATTCCTACACTCCGCTTATCTCCGCAACTAACTTAAACACGCTACGCCATAAAACGACCATTGTTTCTTAACCGTTCACTGGAAAAGTAGTGGATGGAGGCCGCAGTAAAACGCCTACCATACATATTTACTCACTTTGTCTAATGCAATGTGGCGGGGAACGAGTTTTTATGTCACTTAATGCGCGCTCGGACAACTTGAAAAGCGCGTTTTATGTAAAAACGTGACAGGAATGAATTTATGCTGGATTTGCTTTTGAAGTGCCATACTAAATCATCACTGAATTTCAAATTTTGCAGTTGTGAGCTTATAGGCGAGAATTAAGGCTTTATACAGAAAAAACAAAACAAAAGGTAAACGAATCAACCAAAAAACATAATTATTTTAAACCGTAATTTATAGCTGGCACAGGCAGAAGTTGAAGCATTTTCATTAATAATTTTTGTCATTAGATTTAAACCTTCAAAATGAAGTTATAAGCCATAATATTTGTAATTAATGTAATTCTCTTAGATGTATTCCAAATACTCTACTTGCTCGTATCTACTTTTAAACTAACTTTTTTATTCCCAGCGAGACTTACTTTAGCCATAAAAGTCACTCGAAGTTGTATAACGTCACACTCCTCGATTTTCCTACCATAAAATTTAAGTCAATAAAGTTTTACTACCATTTCGACGTGAGGTGCATAATCGATTTCTTTTATATCGATTCCGAGTTACAAAGTAGCAGCACTAATTAGCGGGGAAATATGGCGGGAGTTTTGACGCCTAGGGCTTATTCCAAAATTTGGGTAGGAATCTTAAGTTTGAAAAAAGAACGTCTTAGAGTTATTCGAAATGCAAGTTATGTTTTTTAAATGAGCTTGGAATGAAAAGTTAACAGCCAGTAATTTGTAGTTATCGATACCCAGCCTGTGGCACAGATCATAATAGTTTTTCCGCTTTAAGTAAGTATTTTCCAAATCGATTTATGTGTAGCATTGCTTGATTGCTGGCAGACAATCCATGATAAAGCTGACGTGGGCTAATGAAGTAATGCTGCGATACGCCATGTTGCGTCGTAAACCGAACAGTGGAAAGCCATCTCGCCATAAAAGCGATGTAGTAAAACCCGGCCGATGTCTGGCGCAATGCGTCGCTGCTGCATTTGTTACTTCGGGAACGGGCATTACTTAGAATCTTCATAAACGGTTGAAACCTTCCATTTTGGTTGCTAGTTAGAAAAAGCCAGCTTGACTTTGAAAATGAAAATTGATATTTATTAAGTCCAAAAATATTACAGCCTACATTATTGGATCACTGTTACTGTCAATATAAAAGTGATCTTTCTGACTTAAATATAATTATTATAGAGTAAATAAACAATGACAAACAGTAATATATTTCAAAATAAACATAGGTACCATCTTTCTTTATGCATAAAAAAGGGCCCAGTGAATGCTCTGGTCCAAATATTAAAAATAAGTATTGAAAGAGCGCGCTGCAGTGACATTGTCTGTTTCTAAAAAGACTTGCATGAAAATGTGTGATATGTACTCGTAGGAGTACACTTCAGAGCGTGACGAAGTATGCCCAAGTGTCCTTTCTAGCGCTGAATAGCGTTTTTATGTCCTACGGCCACGTTTGTGGACAAAAGGAAGTCATAAAAAGCTAAGTGTCTGCCGTGATGCGCGACCTTCTGCCTCGGCTTTACGGCAGTGACGTACCTACCTCGATTATGTTTAATCCTTGTTTATGGTTACGGTCTCGATTGTGTTTCACGGCTGACGATTGTCGATTTTGTTGCTCGACGCACCTTTGTTCTTGTATAGTGATGGGAACGAAGCGGAGATCGTACGATGTTCACGTTGTAAAGTTGTGAGAAACTTTCCGAGAACTATCAACGCTTATGGATCTACAGATCTACACCTAGTATCTACTTCCGTTAAATAATATAAAATACATCGCCAACACTAACGTAGTTTGTATTTAATTCACAATAAAGTTTTTATGCTGTCGTTTATTCCAAGACATTTTTATTTTTGTAACGTGACACTTTATTAGATCAATTAAGAAAATTAAAACAAAAAATATTAATTGACATCAGGAAAAGTCACTCTAGATTTATAGAAATATTTTTTTATGCAGAACAAGCAGGTATTTGACCGCAATCGCATCGATAGATTTGTTTCAAGTCAATTTTGACGCAAATCGTTGATAGGTGTTAGGCAAACGAAATAAAATAAATAAGTATTTTACCTTATAGTTCTTGCAACTCACAAAGGCGAGTGATCTTTACGATAGGGTAATGTCTATCAAAACTTTTGAAAAACGAACAGTAGTGATGTAAAGCTCACCCGCCTTAGTGAATTGCAACAACCATATACATAATTAGGAAACTTTTAGTCACCTTATTTATAGTGTAAACTCTTTGTAAATCTACAGAAACTAAATCAATGAACATAACTAATAGCTTTTCAAACGGCCCATAAATACTTGACAGCTATTAACGTTGGTATCTCAATGCAGTACAAGTAATGCAACGCGATTTTACAATCAGATCAGTGTTTTGCACAAATTATGGCCGCCAAGGAATATAAATGTCAATCGACTATTATGTTTCGGTCTGTTGTGATCACCTACGATACTTAAGTGCTCTATAAAGCTATGATAGTGGTCAGTAAAACAATAAGATTAATAATAATAACGGCTGACATATTGTTACTTGATTCTGATTGGCAGGCCACCTGGATTTTGATAGAGTTTGGTAAAGGGTTGAGTTACAGTTCATTTTAAACTTCTGAGCTAGGCAACACTGCTTCAGGCGTATATACAGGAAAGTATACAATATTGCTCAGTTGTCTATATGTATTGCAAGCCCCTTTGTAAGTAATTCAAAGTTACAAGTGGTTGTGTCGTGCCTTATTGTTTTACCTAATAACAAAAAGCTCTTGAAAAATGACGTCCACTGCTGGACAAAGGCCTACCCCAAGGTTTTCCATAATGAAGGGTCATGCGCTGCCCGCATCCAGGTTCTTCTCGCGACCTTTACCAGATCGTCGGTCCACCTAGTAGGAGGCCTGCCCACGTTTAACGTCTTCCCGTCCGTATAAGCTCTAATACCCAAATAAATAAAATAAATATTGTTTCTTTCCGATAATTTAAATCCATAATTTTGTGGGTTAGTAATACAAAAATTAACTTAATCTAAGGTTAGTAAAATTGGTTAAAATAACTTTAAAGAAAAGCTCTATCTAGTCTTGAACTTTTTAGATTAATCCAGGTTAATGTCTAACAACAAATAATATCATTCTGGTATTTTTAATAATATAAATAAGTGTAATGAAAGCAAGCATTTGTAACACTTGAGTCATAGCAGTAATCTAAACTATTTCGACTCTTTGTTCCCATAGCTCTTGAGTTGCACATTCCCCGAATTAATCCTGAAGTAGTTCCGTCAAACGACTGTATATTTACATTATGACAATTTCACGGCTATTGTAAACAATGCCATTGGATATAATGTAAATATTTACATGACGGCTTAAGCAGAAGTCGCGCTGTGAGAAGCTTGAATGAAAGTGCCGTTTTATTATTATACCTAGCTTTTGTCAGCGACTTTGCCCACCTGAAATTCAATTTGTTACAGGAAGACCGACTTACTTGAACGTAAGAATCGTTGTAATTGACCAATAACCGTTGAGTTAGAAATTATAACCTCTATGTTGTCCTGATGTATAATGAATACTTTACTTACTATTCTTAGGTTCTGTAAAGTTTCATCAAAATATTATGTTCAATGACTTTTAGCGTCATAGAGTAACAATCCATCTATAAACTTTCGTATGTATTTTACTTACTTAATAGGATTTGAAGGAAAATAAATAAATCTTAAGCACCTTTTCGGAAAGATCAATGCAAACTGGGTATTATAAGTAAGCGGACTAACGCCGTATTCACAAACGATGCTTGCTCAAGTGAAGCAGCAAATCGAACGCACAGCTTGTGGCACAGCGTTGAATAGAGCTCTGTGATTATTTCGTGTGTGATCCTGTGCGTCCACGCGCACTGTGAGACCTCATAGTAATGTTTGTGAATACGGGCGTATAGCTTCAAAACATTAGGATCTGTGTGCTAGTAAGAGCCTAAAAACTTTAAAATTAAAATATTGGGTTTTTATTTGTTTAAGATTTAATTGTCAGAAAGGCTTCTTTGCCTGGAGTCAATAACACTTGGACAGCTGTCTTTCTGATGTTAAATCTTTTAAGATTTTATTCGTCTTATTTGCATACCAAGCCCTGTCCAAATTCGACAAGTTTGATAGATCGGCTTGTGATAAGTACACTCAATTTGGCGAGGATAAATCATAATTAAAATGTAAAGTAAAACGCTTTTATTTAGAGGTTAAGAGGGGTAAACCTTTGTAATTAAGTCTATCCCAAATTACTAGTTCTTAAAAAAATGTAGCCCTACGCCTTTGCGTTATACAAGTTCGTTCATCCATTTCAGCCAAATGACGTCCTCAGGCCTGGAAAAAGAACTCCCCAAGGATTTCCACAACTAACCGGTCCTACTTCCAGCATCCAGTTATATTAGTACTAAATACTAACGGGACCATTCCCACCTCTCGTTCCCACCGCTACAACTCCTGTGTAGCTAGGATCTACAGCTTGACCGCCAATAAAAACCCAACCAGTGAAGGCCAAGTTTCTCCCGGGGAAAAGATCACTGTCATCGGACCTGCAACGAAATTAATGAGAAGAACATAGGAAGAGTTTATAGTAATAGTAACTACATACCTACTACAGTAATAAAATATGTAATTAATAGTAGGTACTAAATACTACACGTAAATAACGTGTTCCTTTCTTTTTTTCCAGCGGTGTCCCTAGAAACCCTGGTGGAAAACTGTCACAAACTCCTAGAGAAGTTCCACTATTCCTGGGAGATGATGCCCCTCGTGCTGGTCATCCTGAATTACGCGGGCAGCGACCTGGACGAAGCCTCGAGGAAGATTGATGAAGGTAAGTCTATTGAATAGATGATAATTTAGTTTTAAGAGCAGTGAGAGCAATGAGCAAACGGTCAGATTCTGTATGGAAACTTTTGGATCATCATCATCATTTCAGCCACAGAACGTCCACTGCTGAACATAGGCCTTTGGCCATAGGCGGTGACTTTTCATCTCAAGATAAATACTTTGTAGATGATTCGACACTTAACAATTTGAAAGGGAGACAATTCATCTGAGGATGAAATATCCTCGGTTGAAATACCTTTAGTCTCCCAGATTCCCATTTCGTATTAGTTAGTTTTAATCATATAGCGCCTTCCTACAACCTTTATGAGGTCATCTGTCCTTTTCGATCAGCAAGAGCCAAAATATCAAGATTATTTATTCTTCTAAAGAATGGATTAAGTGATTTTACTGCTGGCCTTTGTTTGCCTATGCCCTGACCATTGAAAAGAAATAAACAACCTTTGTTTTAACTGATCGAATCCAATTTATCGATTTGATTATTTTTAAAACTCATTGGCGATATTTTACTCGTTTTTATCCACCAGTTGTGATGGACAACTTATTACCCTGAAAATAGTGGCTACCTACTTTAAGCATTTCTTAGTCAATATTTGAAATTCAGTATCTCTTGTAGAACATCTAATAGGTGTCTTAGACAAGATTGATATGGGTCATTATAATGATTCACTGTAGAGTGTCAAATTGCTTTCCACCCGTTCAGAGAACTCTAAGCACATTCTGTCAACTATAATATGGGTTTTCTTGGAGGCACTATCTCATACAGATGCCATAGCTATCAACGAACACGAAATTCGATCCTTTCTCCTGCGCGAATGCTTCCGGCTCAATATGACATAAAGTGATCTCTTTATAATAGTTATTCTTGGATCCCTGAAATATCTAGTTGCTGAAATCTATCTATCTTTAAATGCCTTTGGGGTTCGTCTTCGTACATAGGCCTTCTCTTCCACCTTCCACCGACCGCGACCAGTTGCATCAGCGACGTGGTGGAAGAGATTGAGAGCCGTATATGGAGATGGGCAGAACACATTGCACGGATAAACCAGGATCGTTGGGCCAGAAAGACCTTGGAGTGGAGACCCACAATAACACCCGCGGCAGAAGAAGACCGCCAAAGATGGACAGATGACACCCGGCAACAAGTTGCTGAAATAATAAGACAACATTTTCGACTACTTTTTGTGTTTTTTACTCGTCTTTTTCATGTATTTTAAAGCTCACTTAATCATAGATCAGATCTACTACGCCTTCATAATGATTAAAATAAAGTCGTTTGCTCATTGCTAAATCATTTGCATTTTAAAGCTCACGAGATTACAGTAAAAAGCATTTAGAAATATTATGTAACTTCTTACATATGAAAGTAGTTTATTTAGAACCTGGAACTTGTCTAGACTAAGTGAAGTTAAAATTGCATACAATATTACTGTTTCCTCGTGCGTTTCCAAGTTTTGTTTACAAGAACGATACGCTAAGCGAACGTTCCTTCTATTGTTTAGTCACGTCCGACGCAACACACAGCGGAATACTTATTTTGAACGAAACACTTATAATTAAGTTGTCTAACATAACAGAGGAGTTTCTCGCTGTATGTCGGATAAAGGTGTGTTTACATTGCCAAGTGACTTGTACGGAGCGTGCTAATTCTGTGCCATAGAAACTGACAATCTTTGTAACAAAGTCGAATAAAATTTGATAGTGAGATGTCAAAAGTAAGTAGTTGTAACAGAGTTGTGACACCGATTTTTGGAAACCTATCAACTAAGAGAGCTCGCAACAAAGCGTATTTGTTAGCTTGAAACTTGAACTAAAATCGTACTGTTACGAGCTCGCTGGTAGTTAATAAAAGGTACAAAAAATCGACTATGTACACTCTCCTCTGTTACAACTTACCTCAGTCTCCCCTATCTAGTGATACAGTCAGCGTCAAATAGTTCGTAACACCCAAACCCAAAGTAGCCAATAAGTTCGCAACACGTCTTTGTTACAATTGGAATAAGGTTGTGTTGTCAACTTTTAGACTACTTTGGGTGTCACGAATTATTTGACGCTGACTGTATGAGTAAAGCTATCTTTCATTTCAAAGTAAAATTAAGCTAATTGAGATAGTTCAATGTCTCTATGAGACGATTTTATTCACAACTAGCTGACCCGGCGAACTTCGTACCGCCTTAGCGTAGAGATTTTCTTAATATTTTTTTCCGTAAGAACCATCCTTGGACTTCCACAAACATTTAAAAAAAAGAATTATCGAAATCGGTTCAGCCGTTCACACGTGATGCCGTGACAACGCGAAACGGGTTTCATTTTTATATATATAGATTTACAGTCAGCGTCAAAAGTTCGTGACACCCAAAGCAGCCACAAAGTTCGCAACGGTTTATTACAATGGTATAAGGTTGAGTTGTTAACTTTCTTGGGTGTCACGAACTAAGGCTGGGCTGCACCATCTTACTTTAACTTTGACAAACGTCAACAATCTGTCAAACTACATACAAAAAGCACCGGTTATCGTTATAGTTACCGTTAAAGTTAGGTGGTGCAACTCAGCCAAGTATTTGACGCTGACTGGACTTACAAAGTTGTCAGTTTCCATTGCACGAACTGAACGCATCTACGAACTTCGTGCATGCCTCATGGTATTGTAAATGTATAGACAACAGCACATCGGCTCTACATTTCTGTTGGTAATTCGCTCTTAATACAAACGCTTAAGATGTCACTAGGTTAGCTTGATGTGCTGTCGTCTGTACCCACCTTAGGTATTCGGTGACGATGTTAATATCTCAAAAAATCACTTTACATGGCAAAAAAAAAACTAGGGCCCGGATAAATCTATAGAAAACGATTTAAATTTTAAGAGTTAGTAACCTAGTAGGTTGAGGTGAGCTTGATTTGAAACCTCCCTTCCCCCGTGCAGTAAAACTTTTATGAGATATTCTGAAGTGACGCAAAAATAGCCTTCCGCACATTTCATACATTTCAGGACATTTTGTGATAAACGATGATTTTGTACGGACTAGGAAACGATTACTATTAAGTACCATTAAGTTTGTGGACATAACAATGTTTTGTTGTGTTTCGGCGGTTGGAGGTGAGGTTACAGTTCTTCTGTACTTTCACTTTTTCATCAGGTGAGATGCAGGCTCAGGGGTTTTGAATTAAGAAAGTACCAGATTTTCCCCCTGTTACGTATTATTCTCAGTCGGTACACTCTTGTCAGAGTGGCCGTGGTCATCATTGTGAATCACGATGAGTGATGTTCCTCACAATACGGCGCCATTCCTCGCGGACTGCAGTTTTTCTTTCGTTCCGAGCACTTAGTTACGGCCTTGATCTGGTCTGTCCATCTCATTGGTGATCTACCACGTGGTCTAGTGCCCTCAACCTTTCCCTGCACTACGAGACGCTCTATGGAGTCGTTACTGCGGCGAGATACATGGCCGAAGGTTAAAATATGTGACTGAACTGTGGTTGTTAAAAGTATTGTCAGGAACTTATGGAAATTATACTTCCGGAGCTTTACTTTCGGCTACCCTTCTGCCTACTATACACATTGAATTTTATATTGTATCAAATATTCAATCAGACCTTCAAGTTTTTAAACATCTTCACCGAATACCGAATATTATTATTAAGATACGAAAGTTTACATACTCCTTTTCGCTGCTTTTACTTAGATCTTTTATATTCTATCAAAAGAATTAAGTTATTCTTCTTTAAATACGTACGAGAGCGTGAAAAGGAGTATTAATTTCAAAACCTTTATTTTTCCATTGATCTTCAATGACGAACATACTAGTCATAATGGGTAATCAATTCAGTGGAGAAAAATAAGGGTTTCTGTCAAGCGCGACTGTAGCTTTGTACCAGTGAACATTTTATTTAACATTTAATCAATGCATTTGTTACAAGTTTTAATACATTATTAATCAACTGTTTTTTCATGAAAATTGAAGTATCAGAGAACAGTCTGTTTAAACTGCTAAATAACATGTTCATCGGTACACTTTTTAACTTGGAAAAAACTGCATTTGTAAAACATTGGTATGTGTTAATTCAATTAAAATCTGATGCTAACATAAGCATCGCAGGATACAATAATTAGGATCATTCGGCAAACGATTCCGATCATTAAATATTTAATAAGTTACAGAAATTGTACTTAATCGAAATAAGTAGTTAACATTTTTATTAAAACTGTAAAATACGTCAAAAATTTGAGCGGTCTTATTAGTAAAGGAACAGCAAGTTTAGGAAATTAATTGAAACATTGAAATTTCATAGTAAAATTAATTTCAATATTATTGAAATTATACAAATGAACGCGGTAGCATTGTTTGTGTTAATATAAATCACTGTACGTTAAAATTTAAATGCAGTCTAATTACCAAAAGTAAAAATTAATAAACTCATTTTTAAGTGGCTCATTAAATTCGAAAGTAGCTTTTTAACATTAATTTTTCACAGGACGTTGGAAGGTACCACAGAATACATAATAAGGCCCGCACTGGCGCCTGTGGTAATTATCAAGTCGGTGTATTGTCGCCTAAATGTCAAAAAGGCGTCAGACATTTTTTTCAACCGCATCCAAAATTAATTCATATTATTTATAAAGTTTATTAAATTTACTTTACCTCAACGCTAATGTCACTGGCCAATTTTATTTACATATATTAAATGATAAATGGACCTTTGCTTGTAAATAATTTAATTTTTCAATAATTAAAAAGTACAAAACATGTTTTCGAATTGTACCTATTCATGCTCGCCGCCGCGCCGCGCAGTGACTTACTGAATGGCTTGTATTTTATTTGCACCTACCTACTTTATAAAAATAAAAAATCACTTTTAATAGAACTGCTACGCTAAATCGTTTTTGTATTGTTTATTATTATTAAGACAAATTAATGTTTCTCTGTAAGTGATTGCATTGTAATCTTTTTGAGAAATAAATATCTTTAATATGCTATTTATAGTTTCCTCCTTAATATAAAAAATAATAAATATCTTTGGACAATCTCACACAGCGCCATCTAGCCCCAAAGTAAGCAATTAATATACTTGTGTTATGGGTGCTAGTTAACGGATATACTACTTATATACTTTTTTTTAAATACATACATATTATACATAGTAACACCCAGACCCGTCACAGAAATTAAAAACATGCACAATGTTTCTGTTATGGGCAAACCGGCCAGCGATTCGAGGACCACCGCAACATAGACAATTTAACTAAAAAATACTTGCTTTTAACTGCGGAGTCGCTCGTGTTGATAAAATGATAGCTGACTTCTTGGCGGGAATCTGAAGCGTCATGTTAGCGGTTTTGTTTTATTTTCTCAAATTCGTGTTTGGGCGACTATTAATGTGTAATAATGGTGGATTACTAACCATTGAGTGTTCGTGAACGTGCATGAGTGTGGGCAAGTGAAGCAAAACAGTGCATTGTGATTCTTCTGGTTCTCTCAAGTTGTCCATAGGAGGTCTCAGTAAAGCACCACCATTTTACTGAGACTCAAAGGGTGGGAGGGGTATCATCATATATAGGTATATCATCTATCATCGTTTATTAAATCATTACTTGATTTTTGTAAATTGTATCACTTATAGTATACTTGAAAATGGCACAAATCAAGTCGACCTCGACGTGTATTGCCAACATCATCAAAAAAGAAGAAGAAGAAATGATAGCTTGATTACCTCACTATTATGAGTACAAGAATAAAAGTATCACTTCTTTAAATTAAGAATAGACAATAATTGCGTTATTAAAACTAATTTTGTGCTACATTTGTCTGAATATTGAAAAGGCACTTAAAGCTACGTTTTGTGCCTGACATGGCGAATTGGTGACATAACTTCCATTTAGCTGATTTAAAAGATAAAGCTCAGTGTCGACTGGCCACGATGTAATTAGCCCGCGGACAATCCAGAATATCTACGTAGCGTATCAATAAAAAAATGATACAACAATGAGAATAAATAGGCACAAGAAAATATAAATATATTTAATTTGCAAATCTCGATTAAGTAAGATAATCGATAATATTGCCACAAGATCGGACAGAACTTTGCCTTATTTTTTTCAATTTTATTTCTTATAAAAGTATCAATCTTATAAAGTGTAGTGTACCTAATCTAAAATTACCCCCTACTTACATGGATTAATCTCATCTGCATATTTAATGTTGTTTCAATAAGGAAGTGCTATGTCAATGATTCACTTAACTGTGCTCTTTGTAGCGTAAACGAGATTTTACTTAAGAAAATAACATCAATTTGTAAATTCCTCTCTTCAACGGTACTTACTATATTTTCCATTAAAAATAACAAACTACTTGAAAACTGGAAATCAGCCGGGCAATATAACTACTTAATGTATTCCTGATTCGTTCATGCATAATACATTATCAATTATTTGTCGATAAGTTGGGCGTGGTTGGGCAAACGGTCCTTCGGGGGATAAGCTTGGCGAGCATGCTTGGCCACTTGTTCGGTAGCTTATTTGAAAATATACAATGTCACTTATTTTTCTAAACGTTTTATGGCTTGGTATGTAATTATGATAGTAAGTTTGGAAACTTTCTGAGATTTATTCCATTGTTTTATTTTCTTTTGGCCGAAAAAAAACAACCAAGCCATAAAACGTTTAGAAAAATAAGTGACATTCTATATTTTCAAATAATTGTTCTTAATTCAAATCGATCCACTTTCGTTTTCTAATTTGCTGTTCCGACGACCACAAGAATAGTGACATAAATTGAAATCGAAATGATGAATTTTAATTTATGTGACGGGTCTGGGTACTCTGGGTGTGACTATGTATAATATTTATGTATTTAAAAAAAAGTATATTAGTAGTATATCCATTAAGCTAGCACCCATAACACTAGCATTAAGTTGCTTACTTTGGGGCTAGCTGGCGCTGTGTGAAATTGTTCAAAGATTTATTTATTATTTATTTATAAATGAATTTTTCAAGAATATTTTCCTTTATGTAATGATGTTTGAGCAAATCGTTTCCGAGGGCCCATTCACGTGCGATTATAGTTAATTTAACAACGTGCAAAAGTTAAACGACAAAAGTCATATTCTCAGTATTTAATAGCCTATCTAGGTACATATTTGCAACACAAAAAGATAATCCTGTATCCGTCGAATATAATGACTTGGGAAAATCCTTGATTTTTAAATATTCACTTATCGCGCTTGTTGATTCACTGATTAATTCCGTTCCATTTCATACATCATTCATTATTAAATAATCTTTAATATCTTAGTAGAAGCTATGTTTTATTGTTATTTTATATGCCTTATTAATATACCACTACTTACTATTAATTACACGCGTAACACGCTCGGAGCACAATTAGTATTTTTTTATTTATAATTATTTTGATGTTCACTAGGTGTTGAAATAATGTCATTTCCATGAAATTATTGTTTATTATGAAATTATAATAAAAAATGTTATCGAGTCGGCTGCTTTTATGTTTAAATTATTTTTATGTTGTGTAAAATGTGCAGTTTTTTCCATTATAGTGTTGTGCTATGCGAGTGTCGATAGCTGGCGTTTGTCCACAGGGAAGATGATCATCAACGAGTACGCGCGGAAGCACAACCTCAACATCTTCGACGGCTTAGAGCTGAGGAACTCGACTCGCCAGTACGGACTTTAATAGTAATATAGTTTTTCCAAAACACACACACACATAAATACACGCACTAACAAACAGCCAAAAAATACATACACCGCCACAGTATTGCGTTCAAATTATAAAATAATATTTTACAAAGTATTGAGATTTTACTCACAGATTTACTTTAGCAATTTTTCTAGTTTATTCTAGTTTAAAATTAATTAATAACTTAGCGGTTACCTTAACTTTAACAACTGAAATATTTCATGTTGTTTTTCAGTATCAAAGAAGAACATCATTACAAAGCGATATCTTTCGGGTTGCAATGATTCATTACAAAAAAAATATCACAAGATCCATTTAAATTAGATTCATAACGTGAGTATTTGTATTTTTAATCAAGTCGGAACGCTGTGGCTGACATGACACACAACAGAGACATGATGATATTATTTTCAGGGCTGTTTCAATTCTGTGATATTTATTATTAGTAATTTAAATTAGATTTTAACTTTATCTTTATTTAGATCTTAATATGATAACTTGATAACAGCCTTGAAACAGAAATACGAAATACACACAGTCAAACCTTTGAATAATTTCCTTGTAATTAATACATCAAATTATCTCCAAATATTAATTGTCTTTAGTTTGTTTTTATTAAAAAAAAGTAAAAAGTTTCTTTTATACTTTCAATGGGAATACCTTAATAAAAAACGTAGAACAAAAATACATAGATTTAAACACTATTTGTAGAGACATCGTTACTAGTCACATGCAGTACAGAATAATAAGTAGTAATAAAACATAATATATGTGAGCATAAAAATACCACTTATTTGCTCGGCATGAAAATTTATTGAAAAACAAAGAAATTAAAAGCTGTTGTGATGCACAGACATTTTCATTTCAATTTCATTATTTCGATTTCAGTTATGAATATTCATTACCTGTCCATTTTGAATAAGACCCATATATAAATATTAATCTTGTCTTGATTGATTGTACTACTGGTATGAAAATATTAAAATAAAATATTGAACTAAAAATAAAAAATTGGTGGATGAGTCTTCCAGCGACTTGACTCACTTTTAGCTTGGTCTGATTTGTAACTGGGCCTCCTATTGTTTTATCGATAAATACCAAATCAACAAAAATCTTCTCTAGAATCTTAGAGTGGGCCCAGATGCCGGAAGAAAAAATATTTAAAAAATCAGTGCGGCGACTTGGCCCGTGGACCAAACTAAAAGTGGCCCAATTCGCTGGAAGACTCGTATGCCCGGTGGCCTAAGTCCTTATCTAATTCTCTAATGTCCTACAAATGTAGCACAGCAACTATTACTTACCAAGTAACAAAGATAAAACAATAGAATAGGTTTCCGTATTTTACAGCAAGATCCTGATGAGATAAAATATATTATCCAGGCAAAAGAAGGATCGAGAACGTGTCTCCTTTAGACGCGAGATTTGATTCCCAGTTTAATGGCACAGGGCAAAGGCAAATTAATAATTGACGATCGCCAAGCCACCGGCTATAGCCAATTGATTTATCTATTGTCTGTCTCGCACGTCGATGTATTAATATCACACAACACACACTCGTGCGCATGCGATGATTCAGTGCGCTTTGAATTGCAAACAAAACAATGATATAATTTTACGCGATCCCTATTTACAGTATACGTCCTTTGATGAGGACTTTTATAGCTAAAGATGGGAATGGAACATAGTAAATGTCAAGTATGGAATAAACTCCACGCCTTATTCAGACGTTAGCATAGTTAAGTAAAAAGTATCATTGTTTACAATTCAAAGGCTATAAACACAAACAGTAAAATGCATTCGGAATCTGAATTTGCAATACTTACAATCATACTGTGTCCCTAAATATCTCAATAAACACTTCAATTGTGCTTTGAACAAAAAGCCTTGGAAAAGTTTTCTTGACTTCACCATGACATTTCTGACATTTTAATCTTCGCCGCCTAAATCAAGAGTTACTAAGTCCAGTCTAGTGTTGCCAACTTATAATAATTGACTTAAGTAGAGTTGAAAATATATACCATTTAATAGTAAAATACAAATAAGAATAACACCACCAAGTCATGTCGTTTCAGTTAGTCCCTACTATGTGTCAACAAACTACATTATTTTAATGTAGCTGGGTTGAAATAATCAATCCGGTGTAACCGACATTGCAACGTCATTTAATCTAAAGCGAAGTAGCTACCGCAAACTGACTCATTTTGTATTTCCCACTATTCATGTGTTAATTTTGACTTCACCTTAGGGTAAACGTGTTAAAAGTTGGCAACCCTCGGCATTTATTTTCAACACTAAGATTATTGAAAGGCGGACGGTAAAGAGAACGACGTCTATTGCCCCCTCAATATTTACGATGCAGCTTCTTTGAAGCTGGTAGTGTTGCCAGAAATCGAAAGAGCATCGATTAAATTTAAATCGAATACTTTCAAAATTACACGACACAAATACAAGGAAACTATAAATGTTTTCTCCAGTTAATAACGGAATGATGCAGGTTTCATGTTTGCACTCCAATGAATTGTGTGCTTGCAGAACTCTACGTAAAGTAAGCTTTTATAAATTAAACAGTACCTACATTTTCCATGCTTTCGGTAGTATACTTGTATCATACACTTTACTTTTAACTTAAAATAATTCTAAGAATAGTACAAATCTCCATTTCTCAAGGTAAAAAATGCACAGCTAGATCAATAGTGTAAACATTAAAATCTGTGTTCGCTCTAGTAATGTTGGAATCAGTGACAAATCGCAGATCTATTAAGAAACAACAATGGTATACTGTTTCTCATTACGTAAAGAAGCAAAAGTGTTAGTATCTACAATGTAACCGATTCGTCCGACTAGACTTTGACCGGTGCATCACTAGCGTTACGATGCGCGCGCGCATTATTGCGTCTCATGTCTTTATCTTGAACTTGGACATTAGCCAATTGCACCTAATCGATCTAACGAGCAAAATGCAATGAGCTTTGACAGGGATACGATTGGTATGTCCTTTGCTACTTTGATCAAAATTTTGAGAATAATAAATTGACGTTTGTCGTAACAATATGAAAGCGATTTTAAAAGGGCTATTTTGTTTTTAATTGTCATAACCCCACACAAGACCAAAGCATATTCAGCTCAGTACGAAGGTCTAACGGGACTATTAGTAAATAATTTGTGCAATACAAATTACTAATATTCTTTTCAAATAAAAATAAAAATACTGTTCTCTTTTTGCTGTGACATTAATATTTTTGATAGATATCCATAAAGGTTTTATTGAGATATTTAGGCACATTTTTCAGTCTTAAAGGCACTCCTCGAATAAAGTCGTGCCAGAAGGTAACAGCACAATGCAGAAAGGCATCAGCTATCCTGTTACCTACCGCCGATGCAAAGCAACTTTGTAACATTGCAACTTCGGTTTCCACATAATTACCATCTGTCTCTGTCTACACAAACAATGTAATAACAATACTAGTCAGATAAAAGTGGGCTGACCAAGTATCAATCGTACACTAACCAGTAGTGATTTCCACTTTCCAGTGACCGGACGAAGGTGGCGAAATTTGCAATATAATTTAAAGTGACAGTGTTGTGATAGTGTGTGATGTCGATGTTATTTTATTTTAATTTTCTTTTTTGTAGGAAAATGCTGCAAAGCGAAATTAATAATATAAGTGGTGTACTATCATCGTCGATGAAGTTGTTTTGCGAATGATACTTAGTTTTACCAGTGTGTGTTGTGAGGACGCGTGCTGTGCGTCGCTGTGTGTTGCGAACTCAGAAGAATTGTGAACGGCTAGCTACAAAGGACTTTTAGGTGAGTTTAGACTTTAATGTAAACTATTTAGGAGACATTTTTCTGAATTTTAATCCGCGAAAAATTGGCAGTAAAAATCGCTGTCTTCTCTTTAGTTAATGTTTCATTAAAATGTCTTCTGAATTTTTCAACCTATGATTTTGTCTTTTCCGATTACGTTCTTATGTGATTTATAATTTTAGTTATAAATCAGGTAAGTGCTTAAATGTGTATAAATTACTTTTACTCGTGGAAGTGACATTCCATAATTCAGTGGTAATTTTGACAGTTCAACTTTTATGAAAGTTTTATTGTGTAAACGACAAAATGAAAAGATTTTCAAGCATAATATTTCAGTGCTCTCTACTTTTTAATGACTTACGAACCGGTAGGTATTAGCTTTTTTAGAACTGAATTGAAATATTATTGTCAATAAATACAAGAACTGAATTGTGGAATGAGCCCCATATCTATAATCGCTACTTCTCCCGATTCCGGAATCGTGAAACCACACTTATATTATTAAAGCTATGTTATCGTTTATAACATAATTAAAACGTGACGTAAATTTTAACCTTGCTATTTGAGGTTAAGTAACTTTTGGGTCTTTTTTGTAACATTTCAGTTTCATAAATCTCTGATCTTTTCAGAGAGTTATGAGTACTTACATTTATTGCTTTTCAAAGTACGTTTTATTTTCAATACTATCTCGCATTGCGATGGGGCTTAGGTTATGGATTGATAAATAAGACAAGAAAAACATTTTTAAGCATATTATTAGGGATTAATTAAAGGATTGGCGTAACCCGTAGCCTTTAGGTGTTTTTGTAAGGTGTTTTAGGCGTTTCAGTTTCATTTTCTGATCTTTTTAAAGATTTAAGAGTACATTTATTGCTTTTAGAATTAAGTTTTATTTTCAATACTATCTCGCATTGCCATACTGGTGGACTGTAAAATAACACAGTCTTATTTTAATTATTGAGTTAATTCTATACCGCGGTAACAAGGGTAAACTGCGCATCATAAAACAGTCGTCCAGATTTAACGACGTTTGATTAAAATGACATTAAATAACATTTATTTATACTGTAAACTAACTTAGATACAAGAAAATCTATTATTTTATAGACAACTATGAATTTTATATGGGAATAAAGTTCCTATGTTTACTTTGACAACAAACAAAAAAAATATTCCGTATCATAAGACGTCTCTCAAGACTCGGTTCGAACATAAACATAAATCTTGTTTGAATATTGAAATTCCGATCAAAAGCCTCAATATAAATTACTTGATATTGAATCTAGTTCTAAGTTTCATTCTAAAATACGCATCAAATTTTTGAGTGTAGGTAGGTTCTTTAGTATCGTTTCATACTGAGTTAGAACACAAATAAACTACTGTAACTTTCTCGTTACAATGATTACCACGTTATCAACTTAGTCATATGAAAATGCATAGTAATTATTTTCACATACTTTATGTTTCAAGATACACATCCAGTCAGATGGTCTGAGACAAACAAAGCGCCACAAACTCTACTTTTATCACTTTCCCATCACAACGCCCATCCCCCCTCCCCCCATTCCCATAACTCAGCCTCGTTTACAGTTTTATAATATACAATTACAGATTGTAAAAATGTTAAATGGATCTTCGTAATGGCGTACGTTGTAAACCCGCAATAATGAAGGATATAGGCAAATTGTATTTAGTTCCCGATTCGCAGAAATGTAATAAAAATTTGCAATTATGTTATGGTCGTATTTTATACGTGCAGCACACTTGTTAGCGGTTTTATTCGCGAACAAATGCTCTAAGATGGTTTATTTTCAACTTTCTTGATAACGAAGTCACTGTAGTTTTATTGCTTTTTGTATCCCAAAACTAATTGGACATCAACAATCAAGCGTAAGAAATGTTACACAAAATGAACCAACGATTGATGATTTCTTTACCATAGTAGGCAAAGGTATCATGTTATTTTTCATTTTTACTATGTGTTAAAATCAAATCATGATTTTGCAATTTGAAATTGTGTTCGATAGCAGTTTTTTGGGTTTAACAAAGTCCCCAAAACGACATTTTTGCACCTGTCATTATAATTACAAATGTGTAACCTTAAAAATGTAATAAGTATTAATCTTTTTTAACCGACTTCAACAAAAGAGTTCTCATTTGCACTCAACTTTAAAGAGTGGCGTTTTTTAAGGTAGCCGAAACGAAACAAACAAAAGCGAGCCCATAAATACGGCGTTCAACTACAAAAATGTAGGAAGGAGCTCATTTTCAATTACCCGCGCGCTCGTAAAGCTGCGTACGCGCATTTTATAATTTCCTCCCTTACCGCAAAACAGATTACCCGTATTCCCCTATGTTAGAAATGTGCGCTAGATTACTTTGAAACTCTTTGCTTTTTAGGGTTCAGTATTAACACAAATTGCGATTAGGACAATTATACATTAATTTTTATTTCAAAAACTTTGTTTTTGTTGTTTTAAGATTTTGACAGGTAAATCAAACTCGCAATTCGTAGATAACAATACTATTGTTTCTAATTTTTAAGAGATTCTATTTATTCATTAATTTCCTGAAATTTTCTAATAATCACCATTAGAAAATGCTTAAACAATTTCAGGAAATGAATGAAACATCCAACCTAACAAACTTTCTAACTTCTTTGTAGAGCCAACCCTAAACCTATATTTCAATGTCATTTCATGGACATTGCATTCTAATTTCGACAGTAAATACATTGCCTGTGCCAAAACACAAACACAGTTCTTAGCTAAAATTAAATTAAATACGGAACCCAAGACTTTGTGTTCAGTTCGCCCTTTCCCTTGGTTTGTTTGAGCAGGGCGACTGCGGTAGGTCCCGCGGTGTTGTCTCAAAAGTTTTATGTCTCTGCGCATGACCTGACACCTCCCATATAAATTACTATGTTAAAGTATGTCGGTTTGTTGCACATTTCAATGCATATTAGAGTATAGCTCTACTTCTTGTATTTTGGATTTGAGTTAGTGAAATGTTTCCAAATCTTAATATTGTGTAAAAAAACTCCTAAAACTCTATTTGTGTAAGTAGGCATTTAAAAAGCACTTTTACACGTCCCAGTATTAACCCTACCACTGCTTCGGGACAATAAATGAGCCAATGCTGAGAAGAAGCAGCGCAAGAAACTCGGTCACTATTGTCAGCCGATTGTGAACGTCTTATCCTAAGTTTTGTGATCCCTAAGAGGTTTTAATCGTCTCATTTAGATTAAAATCCTAGCTACAGGACGTCCACTTCTGAACATAGGCCTCCCCCAATGATGTCCACATTGCCCGGCTAGTAGCGGCCTGCATCCAGCGCCTTCCTGCCACTTCTATGAGGTCGTCGGTTCAGTTGTTGGTGAAAGTCCTAGGCACGCTGCGGTTTCCGTATTTAAAATTTCTAGTATTATCTACATACTTACCAATAATAATCCATTCGCGACATTTACAGACAAATCTTTGCATTTACTCTGTTGCCAGTAGCGCCACTTCTTGAAATTACTCTACAGATGTTATATAAATTGTGATACAATGACATCAGGTTGTAGGCCAAGCTTCAATATAAAGGGCATTAGCCATCTTTAAATTGTAACAACTGGTAAACAAACCGTTCAAGGCAAACATTATTTGACATACTTTACTTTAGGTTCATAATTCTCGAGATAGGTTAGAACTGCATTCATTATATTCATTATACATATTGTCCCCCACATTATCTTAACTGGTTTGACCCAGCACCACGTGTATACATTTTATTAATAAGTTTATCGTCAATGTTACTAATGTGCAAGATATAACTGCACCGTGCAACCTCTGATAAGCTATCGGCATTTAATTACATTATTAACTTATATTCTGTAGGTGGATTTAGTGATCTAGTTTTGTCTAGCTAAGATGAAATGATGCTAAAAACTGTTTTAACAGCAAATGTTCTCAGTCCAGTACATCTAGGATTATAGAGTCTATAAAACACCTGTGAGAGGATGGGGAATAGGCTAAAGTCTTCCCGTGCGAGTGTCAAAACCAGCGCCGAAGGAAAACTAAGCTTTTTTTTCANAAAAAAAAAAAAAAATCAAAATTATTTATTCAGTTTAGACCACAAGTGGCACTTATGAAAACCAGCGCCGAAGGAAAACTAAGCTTTTTTTTCAAGAATGAAGGGTCATGAGATTGTGTAGAGTCGTCTCCATTAAAAAACCGTTCATGTTATGTAGGTAGTACACATTGTGGAATTTTTTAAAAAAAAATAGGAAAATTGCACTTATGAAACTTTTTCAGTCCTTTATTATTGTTAAAGTTACCAACATATAGGTCTATCGTTTTTGTTTGGTTGTTTAGTCATTCCTCTTTTCAATAGGATTTGAGAACTGAGGTTCTGATTCATACTTAACCTCCAGTGAAAGACTTTACAGCGAGACTGACTGACCAACATCATTTTATAGAAATACATTAACGATAAGATCGATTTTGGTTCGCCAATTACGTTAATTTTGCATTAAACACCTTTGATCTTTGGTCTTTGCTGATTCGGGTATGACAATTTCTTTCACTGATAAAAATGCAGCTAGGTTTGGTTATCTTAACATGCGAGTTAACGTTCATAAGAAAAACTTTCGTAACTTTGTATACGAGTATGTCTAGAGACGGTAATTGATTTAATACCATCCATTCCTTATCTCCTCAACATGACCTCATGTAATAACTAATTATTCTGTTTATTTAGCTACAGCATCTCCTTGTTTATAGCCAGTATAAAATCTTTATACCCTCCTATTAGGTCATTGACATATTATTTAGTTTATTTACATTTTACGTCCACCGTTTTATGATAAAAACAAGTAAAAACATCACAAATCCAACTCGTGTATGGAAATTATTGTTTTTATTTTAAAACACATAGCATCTCTTATTCTATTGACATGTACCATTATGTTACAATGTTGCAGAGGTGCGTGCGTCTCTTTCCCGCTTTAAATTTTCTGT